TACAAATCAGAGGCTGAAAAAGGCCAGTACTGGATCTGATTCCCTATAGTTCGGAGAGGAAAAACCTGGGCAGTCCAGGTTCCATCAGAGGGGCCCCCTCTATCCCTCCTTAGGCGGAGTATGTTAGGTAGAGGAGGGGATTTGTCAGGTTCAGTGGAATCAGGAGAGGGATAAGGTAAATCTTGGGGTGGAGGTGCCTGCGCAGGTGGATAGGGAGGTGGAGGATCAAAGAGGGTTAGGGAAACTTGGTCCTCAGGGAGGACTGGCCTTTGCTTCTTCTTCTCAGGGACAGACTGAAGGGGCAGGAGGGAAGAAATAGGAGGCCCCTGCTCTGTCTCTCCAGTTCCCCTAGGAGGTAGGAACGGCCATGCCCAGGGTGTAGGGTTCCGGGCCAAGTCTTCCCAGGTGACTATGTAGGCCACCTGGTCTGGATGTCCGTGTGGTCTTGGGTGGAAAATGTATTCCTTAACCTGCAAGATAGTAGCAAGGTCAAAAGTCCCATCCCTTGGCCATCCTTTTTCAAAAGAGGGCCATACAGAGGAACAGAGATTCTGCCACTTCTTCTTCTGGACCTCCAGTGATAAGTTGTGGGCCCTCTCCACGACCTCCTTTTAGTGTTCCAGAGTTAAGCTTAAAGGGGTAGTTAGCGATTGACCCATAGTGGAGGTCACAGACAGGAGAGGGGGAGAGTAAGAAGGAAAGAAAGAAAGTGAGAATATGCCACTCCAAATAATAATGACCAGTGGGTGTGCTTATGAACAAGTACCTAACATTGCCCAGTTTTTCTTCTACGGGGGACGTGAATTTATCTGGGATTCACGCCTGGGACCCCCTTATCCTTCCATGGGAGTCTTTTAGCGGCGAGTGCCCTATGGCTCTTATTTGCTCGACCCGTGCCCGCGGGGCTGTTTCAGTGGCCAGAGAGAGAGAAATAGAGAGGAGAAGGAGATACAGAAAAGCTGCCTTGTCTCCACCCATGTGGGCAGTCGGGGTCCACTAAGAGGGCTAAGAGCCTTTGGCTTACATCAGGGAGTAGCCCTGACCAGAAAACCTCAATTGCTCCTTTGCCTTTAATGGTCCCACGTGAAGAATCAGACTGAGAATGAAAGGAAGGAGGAAAGGAAAGTTTACAATACAAAGTATTGAGAAAATTACAAGACCAGACCTTCCTTTATGTAACTAACACAACCATCAAGCATACATACCACATTAAATCACATTCATATGGACCGGTCCTTCTTTCATTCAGACACACGGTGCACCCACCATTTTCACTTTTTGGGATCCCTGAACACAGACACAGACAATACACAGAACAGAGAATTTCTTGGCGCG